GCCCGGCGGGGCGCCCGCCCCCCACCACGCGCCAGCTGGACAGTCACAGGACACTCGAGGGACAGTGCTGAGATGTTTAATAACAATAAAAAGGGCTGCTGAGAGCCGAGGCCCCAAACCACCCCTCTGCCGCAAACCCCACATGGAAAGAGGTTCCTATAAAGTTAACAGGTTTCAGTACGAAGTAGTAGAAAGAGGGTTGAGGCCCCTGAGACTAGCCTGGTGAATGAGGTAAGGCAGCCGCGCTTCCTCTCGGCCGGCCAGCTGTGCAACGACCCGAGCTCTGTCCCCAAAGAACGGCACGGCCGCCGCCGCTTTATGCAGAGGCTGCACAGGCGAGGCGTCCTCCTGGAGACGCCCACAGCGGTGCAAGGGGGCTTCCGGCCAGAGGATTCTCGCTGGACCCCGGGGCAGTCCTGGCCGGGCCCCCCACGAACAGGCATTCCGTCCTCTGCAAAGTGCCAACTGTTCCCGCCAAGCACCGGGTTACGTTACTTTCTTCCTTTTTGTGCGTTTAGTGCAGCCCCTGCCAAACCAGCCTCCCAGCACCGGGGCGGAGCTAAGTGGCGCAGCTCGCTCTCCGGGCGGGGGCTCCTCGCGGCTCCTGCACAGCGACTTCCGACTGTGGGTGCCTTCTTCACCCGCACGCAGGGGGGTCGCCAGGGCGAAGATCGGGTCCTGCCACCTACCGAAAAGGGAAAGCTGGGTCAGACGTGCCTGGGAGCCCCTCGGTCACAACCTGCCCCAGGGCGGGAAAGCTGACTGCGGTCACCCTGCTGCCCTCCCCTGGGGTCTGAACTGTGGCCAGGCTCTGCCTAGCGGCAGTTCCATCACACCCGAGCTACAGAGCAGCTGCCGGACGGCTAAGGTTCCTGAGTGATTCAGACCAGCTCGGCCCCCGAGAACTCAGTGTCCTTGCTGGTGATCGAGCAGGCTGTGCGCGCCCAAGGTGGGGCAGCGGTTGGTCACTAGCAACTCTGGGTCCCACCTTTCAAGTGTATGGTCAGGGGTGGGTGGGCCAGACCCTCTCCCTCTTCCCAGACTGCCAGACCTGATGGGGGGGGGGGGCGGGAAAGGCCAGCTGACTAGGGAGGCGCGGCCTACAGACTACACCGTGAAGAGATCATGTGTCTGACGGAGATGTAGAACCACATATCATAAACTTAAGATACAGATAAAGCACTGATAAAGAAAATGAGCTAAGTTAATGTAAAAAAAAAAAAAATACAGTACACAATAGGCCCACATTACAGAACAGCACAAACATAACATACAAGAATTGCCAGGCCCAGAAGGTGAAGGGATCCTTAATTCTTGAACCCTTTGATTAAAAGAAGTTATTGATTTCCCCTATAAGACCCTGAAAATTCACAGAGAAAGAAAGTGTAAACTTTTTACTCAATACATACACCACGTCTAAATTATCACAAATTCTGTATTAAGGTACAGTTTAAGCTTCCCCAAAGTACGCCAGCTCCCCGAACCGAGTGCACCGAGATCCTGTCTGGAGATGCCGAGACCACGTCCCTTCAAGGCACCTTCGCGTCCAGGCTGTCGGAGGTAGGAGGGGGGCTCTCCAGGCACACACTGGCACATTCTCTCTCCCCGTGGGGAGTCACACCAGCCAGGGGGCCTCAGCTGATGCCTCTGCCACTCCCCCTTGCTGGCAGAGGCCACCAAGCTGGGGTCACGCCTCAGACACCATCTGCGACAACTCAGAGCATTCTCTACACTCAGTTCACGAGAAAAGACAGACGCGGTCCATCCACACAGGGCAGGGAAGGGGGGGGATGCACCCGTGCCCCCCTCACCTGCTGTAGCGGGGGATCTCCAGGCCTAGCTCGTCCATGAGGAGCTGCATGACGTCATCACACTTCCCATGAAGCTTCAGGGCAGCCCAGTCATCCTTCGGGGTCCACTGGGGACAGGGGAAGGCGAGTGAGGATACCTCACTTCTTCCCAATGGCCCTTTCTTGCCATATCTCTGTGACCCAGGACACGAACATCCAGGAACTCTCTGGTTCTCCTGTTCTAAGGCCCAGGTCTAAGGAGGTGTCTCTGGATGCTCAAGTTACCTGCAAGTTTACAATGTAGAGCTTGGGCCGCCTGCTGGGGGGCTTGGTCATGCACCAGAGGCGTGGATACTTCTTTAGAACCTGCAGGAACGGACAGACGGACAGAAAGACCACATGCACAACAGCGAACGAAGCTACAGGAAGCTAGCTTCTAACACTGAACTGGCCAGGGACTGGCAGTTCTCCCCTCCCCTCCGGTCCCGTCCGCGGCGCTGTTCACGTACCTTTAAGCTGGAACCTAAACACAGGATCGTGTCTGCCTTGCTGGCAGCCTCAGTGGCTGCCTCCCAGTTCAGAGGCTGCCCCAGCGTGCCCCGCTCCCCAAAGTGCACAATGGTGTCCCGGAGCTGGGCCCCACACTTGTGGCAGGCCCGGCCCGTCTGGTGCCGGTGCAGGGCGGTGCGCTCAGTCACATCAAACACCCTCACGTATTCCCTGTTGGGTGTGCAGGCTGTACAGACCTGAGGAGGAGAGGGCGCCGTGAGCAGGAGCCGCTGGCCCGCACAGGCCCGCGAATCCCAGAGAG